ACGACTACTACCTAACGAACGTAACGTAATTAGTACTACTTTCTTAACTTAGTTAGTGGTTGGTCGTCGTACTACTATAATAAGTATAGTATATATATATATATATATATATATATATATATATATATATCAGTTTCCGCTGCCACATATTATTTTGTTCATTTTACTTATTTTGTATGTTTGATTTGTAATTTAGGGAGAAAATTTCATGATCTTGATTTAGTGAACTCAATTTTTGTGATTATGTTATGGCATATGTTTTGTTGAGAATATCAAATACTATTATAGACTTTCTCTCTAGAGTTAAAACATATTTATATATTTATGAAAATTAGTCTTGTGCAAGAATTAACATAAAGTAGTTTGTTGTCTTACTTTATTAATTTTTTGTTGCATCACAACAGTGCAAACATAAACTGTTCGAGAGGATTCTTCATTGAAGTCACTGCCCATAAAGAGTCGGCAACGTATTTTATTTGAGTAGCAGACAACCCTGTTCTTAAAAACAATTAAATTTTTTGAACTTTTATGTATTATCTAAAATTTAAAATGGCATCTAAGCTAGTCATGTCAGAACAATCCAAACTTGAAAAGCTTAATGGAACTAATTTTTTTCATGTGGAAAAGAAAAATTAGATATATTCTATTCCAAGATATGGTGGACTATGTTCTAGATACAGAACCACCAATTTTAGAGCTTAATGTCAATGGTCAAGCCAGAAGGTGACTTGAAAAATGGTTAGAAGATGACAAAATAGCTAGAACTACTATGTTGATTTTTATGGAAGAAAGATTTAATTAGAGTCTTTGAGGATCACACCACAACTCAAAGTATGATGGGTACCCTATCTGAAAAGTATGCGACCACTTCTGAGACCCATGTGCAATTGTTATTAGCAAAATATAATTCTTGCAAAATGAAAGAATCGGACTCAGTGACCGAGCATGTCAATAAAATGATAGTGCTCTCAACGGACCTTGCTGCTACTAAGAATCCAGTACATGATCGCATGCAAGTGTTCATTGTCCATAACAGTCTCCCTCCATCTTGGGAGCATGTTGTAATTACATTAAACCATTATGCACAAGGGATAACTATATTGAATCTTCTCATGCACTTCATTATTGAAGCTGAGAAGAGAATGAGGAAGAAAAAGCTCCACTTTGCCCAAAGTTCATCTTCTAAGGTCCCCAAGAAACCTTACAATAATCAGAACAATAATAGGTATAAGGAAAAGGGGATAAATTTTAAAAATCAAAAGAATAAGATTGAAAAAACTTATTTTTGTAAGGAAATTAAGCACATCAAGTTTAACCTAAGTTACAAAATAAAAATAGAAACCAGAATAACAACCCTGCTTGAAATAATCAAAATAAAAGAAAGGATTTGATCTACGTAGTCCTAGAATCTTTGGTTGCCGACCATGATCTGAAAAATTGGTGGGTCGACTCAACCTCCACTCGACATGTCTCGAGGACTAAGTATGAATTCATAGAGTTAAAGGAGATCACAGCTGGTAACTAACAAATTTATATGGGGAATGACACCTATTGTGATGTACTTGGTATCGGTACTTTCAAGATATATTTACCAGGAGGACCAAATCTCCTATTGACTGATACGTTGTATACGTCCAATATGAGACGCAATTTGATTTCTATCCCTAGGCTGGACGACAAGGGTTATGATATAAGGTTCAAATCTGGTCGGGTCATCATTGGGAAGCATTCTAAAGTATTGGTATATGGTACTAAAGTTAACAATTTGTACCGATTGAATATTAATGAAAATTTATCTCTTTCTGGTTATTTTGATGCATCTTTTGATGCTTTTGTGTGTATGAATGATTCATATTTATGGCACTTAAGATTAGGACGTATAAATAAAAATAAAATGAATCAGATGGTTAAAAGATGTCTGCTCCCTAGTTTAAGAGAAATTATGTTGAAAACATGCGAGCCACGTATTTCTGGTAAATTAACTAAGAACTATTTTTCTAAAGGGAAAATGTTTAGTGACCTACTTACTATTGTTCACTCTAATATATGTGGCCCATTAAATGTAAAAACACATAGAGGTATAAAATATTTTATAATATTTGTAGATGATTATTCACGTTATGGGTATGTATACCTAATTAATAAAAAATTAAATGCTTTATAAATGTTTCTAAAGCCGAGGTAAAAAATCAATTAGGTAAACATATTAAAATTCTCCAAATAGATAGGAGAGGTGCATATTTATTCACCTTATTTACTGAATTTTGTAAGGTGGATGGTATAATTCAATAAACAACCATGCCATATACACCACAACAAATTGGTATATCTGAAAGAATAAATAGAACTTTAATGGTCTATGATGAATTATTCAAATTTACCACCTCATTTTTTGGGTGAGGCTCTCAACACTGCAATGTATATTATTATCGTATTACAACTAAACTATAGACTTAACTCCATATGAATTATGGTCAGGTAGGAAACCTGATCTTACTATCTTGAAAGTTTGGGGTTATTTGATACATGTTCTTATACCACCATAAAATAGAGATAAATTACAAAGTAAAACTATAAAATGCTCATTTATAGATTATTCAAAAAATTCTAAGGGCTATAGATTCTATAACCATGATACTAGAACATTAATAGAGAGTCGTGATACTCATTTCTTAGAAAATATAGATAACGAAAAATATTTTAAGTAAGCCTATTGACTTACATGAAATTGATAAAGATTAAGGTCTCCAAGATCCTATTTCACAGTCTCCCTCTATAATTGGTGAGAATGATTCAATTGAATCAAATATACCAGATAGGCCTAAAAGAACTAGAGTCCAACCTATAACTTTAGAAGAACTTTATGTATTTATGAATGAAGAAAATTATTATTCAACGAGTGACGATTCCATAGATGAACCTCAAAGATACAATGAAGCTCTTAGCTCTCTTGACTCAGCTGAGTGAACTCAAGCCATGGATGATGAACTTGATTCTATTAAAAGAAATCAAGTTTGGGAATTGACTGACATCCCTAAATCATTGGTTGCAAATGGGTCCTAAAGAAAAAGTTTAATGCAAATAGATCCATCGATAAATATAAGGCTAGATTTGTAGCAAAAGGATTCACCCAAAGGGATCGCATAGATTATGTAAAGACTTATTCTCCAGTAGCAAAATTTTCATCTATTAGGATCATCCAAGCTTTAGTTGCATATTATGATCTAGAATTATTTTAAATGAATGTCAAAACAACTTTCTTAAAGGGAGTATTAAAGGAAGATACATATATGAAATAACTAGAAGGATATGTAATTAAAGGCCAAGAAGACAATGTATATAAATTTAAAAAATCTTTATATAGTCTAAAACAGTCTTCTAAGCAGTGGTATATTACCTTTTATAATGCAATTACTGAAATTGGTTATGTAGCTAATGGGTTAGATCATTGTGTATATGTCTAGAATAGTGGAAACAATTTTGTTATATGATCACTATATGTAGATGATTTTTTAATAGCATGTGTAAACAATCTCAAATAAAATAGACTTAAAGGGCAAAAAAAACTATACAAAAAATTTCTAAGTCATTAGAATCACAGTTGCATTTTACATTTTCTAGAAAATTTAGCAGCCTTTAAACCAAACTCCATTTGTTTACCTATGACTTTACAAAACTCCTAGGGCGTGTTTGATTACTGGAATTCACGGTTTCCTAAAGCCGCTGCTTCCCATTGCTTCCAAATCTATGTAAATTAATGCTGTAATTTGGATGCAGCAGCTTCCATGCTGCCCCATGGAAGCTGCAGCTTCCAAAGTTCGTCGAAGAGATGGCTTCGGCAGCAGCATCTTACTTCAATCAAACACAAAATTATAGATTCCAACCAACATAATTGCAAATATAGGCATTGCAAGCCCAAAATGATAGTTAAAAAGCGCCTTTATTTCACGTATCTGCCATGCAAACATGTGCATGGAGATTTTCTTAGAAACCTTAGCAGAGATACATGGAGGGTAAGAAGAAGAGAGGGGTCACAACGAAGGCTAGAAAAAAAACACAAACACACAATCATACAGGCGCTCTATAGAAAGACCGCTGCCGGTTGGCCGAGTATAGAGTAACTATTCTAGCAAACCAAGCACGGCCAAGTCCTCGGCATCGAGATCACAACCTGCACGAAAAGAAACACACGTCAGTTATTCTCCGGCGACCGCACTAAAATAGAGAGGCAGAGAGAAGGTTCAATAGGCAGGCCTGCTTGCTTACGAGTTGCAGTCGAAGTTGGGGTCGAAGGGGAACCCAGGGTTGCAGTTGCATTGGTTGAAGAGGTTGAGGGCGACGAGGATGTTGAGGCTCAGCAAGTAGTTCTTGCAGCACTGGCAGCATTCCTTCCTCCGGTCGGGAGGACCCAAAGAGAGGGTGGCCAGGGCCTGAAGGCTGCTGCAACAAATCGAGGTCGGAAGAATGTTGGAATCAAGAATGCTGGCCCGACACGGGAGAAGGTATATATTAACTTGAGCGCACAGCAGTAATTGAGCATCAGTTTCGTAGGCAGAAAGCACAACCATGGCCAGAATGGCCAAACCAGAAACCCTAATCTGAGCCATTACCACTCACAAAACAGACAGAAAAACACTAAGATTTGGAAGAAGAGCAAGGAGCAAATGAAGAGGCTAAGAGCGAAGGTGGTGGTGGTGATGAGGCAATGAAAAGCTTGGTATTTATAGAGGTCTCTCGAGGACTGCCTGAGGATTTGGTTAAATGTAGAAGGCCAAATTTGCGAAAGGGATAAAAAAAATAACGGGGTAGGTTTCCCCAAATCGGCGCTGACGTCGACGTCCCGCCTGTCAATCACTGTGTTAATGAGTATGGTGAAACCTCAACCGTCCGATGTTACCCCTTTTCGCCGGCATGGGTGAAACGCGACAATTACAGCCGTCGATCCTTGATGAAAGAGAAGAGAACCGCATCTATATATTGACTTCTCTTATCTAGCCTAGTTACTATGATTTAAAAAAAAAGAAAAAAACATCTTCCTCATTTCATGCTTGCTCAACAGTATGGCGCATGAACAGGCCAGACTATACCTACCATGCCCTGGGAGGATCCTGCACACTTACTTCATCGAAAGGAAAGCGCCACTTGGGAGGAAATTGATTTTTCTAAACTGTTAAACTACAGCTAAAAATCACTAGATGACTATTTGGAATAGAAATGTAGTTGTGATTTCTTTTAACACTTGGATCTTACAGTCCAAAAATTAGACGATTCAACCTTGGTTCGAAAATAGGAGGTCCAATCTTGGGACATTATTTCTTTGAATGTGTAGTTTGAATTTCGTTTTCCTTTTATTGAAGTTGATCATTGGGTTCAAGAAGTCACATGCCCAAAATTTGGGGGTCCTAAAATACTCCATGTTTTTCCTAGGGAACAAAAAAAACAGTATGATCTAGTGGGAACGAGAAATCCTTACACTAAACTGAATCACACGATCTTGGTTTCCTAAAAGGGTTTTGGTTTGCATAAGTTTATGCCTTAAAAAACTAAAAGTAAGGCGAACCTCTAAATAGTATGAAAATATGATTTTTCAGTATCAAAAATCTTTATGATAGCTTGAAAATTTACTTTTACCTGTAATTCTAAAATTTAAAGCTTCAAATATAGTGAGATCAAGCAGATCTATAAGTACTTGAGAATATTAAAAATTGTACTTTCCCAGACTTAGAAACTATTTTTTTTTCATGTCTACACATCTCAAAGTCGAGGTGATAAATTTGAGGGTTTTTTATCATCAATCTAACTCTTCTAGTGAATTTTTGAGGTGTGCCTTAATTTGATTGTTGAGAGCCTTAACCTTATATAAACTATTTCCTTCCTAACTTAAAGGAGCCTCTCTTTTTTTAAATTATCCTTATTCTCTACGCATGATCAACGCAATCCCCACCTTCATTGGAATTATTACCCTTCACCTACCCCTCTCTATAAATAGATCCATGATAAATAGAATAAGAGATTAAGTTATTTAACAATATGGTTGCATTGTAGCTTGTTTATGGGTGAATTTGTACCGATCTCTGAATGAGGTCAACTCAAATTTATACAAAACAAGTTAAAAATTGATGAATCTATAGACAAGTGGGGCCACTCGAATTATAGATCCAAAACTGGTAAAATCTTGACAGATCTGACCTTTTCTGGACTTACTGGCAGCGCCAGCTGTAAATCTCATCTACTAGATCTTTAAAAAGCTATAAATTCTAAATTCAACCAAGAGAAGAAAAGGAAATAGTAAAATAAAGAAATAAAAAAATAATAATAAGGAGAAAGAAAGATCACATACCTGAGAAACCCAGAATTGGGGCCCATAGTAGGGCTTCGGGTTGATTTACACATTTTGATGCCTTCTCTTCATATTTTCTTGAAGCATGGCTGTAAAGGTCTTGGGTCTAGCAAATCTTGTTCCTAGGATTTTGATTTTTTGGATTTTATAGAGAAATATTGGAAGAATTTGGGCTTAGAGTCTCTAGCCTAAGGGTTTTTCCTAGATCTATGGTTTTTAGAGCCTAAGAGAATTTCTTTCAAATTTTGTAAGATTTTTTTTTCTAATTTTCTAGAGAGTTTTATAAATTTTCTAGGGAATTTTGGATATTTCCTATTTTTATAGGTATTTTGGAACGAATTTCCTAATTCTCCAATTTTTTTAGGCTTTTCTCGGGATTTTTCCTAATTCTGATATTTTCTAGGTTTTGGGAATTATTGAGAGGGTTTTATATATAAATAGCCTAGGTATATGGTTGAAATTCTAGGAATCGAAATTGGATTCCTAATCCATCTGGGAAAGGGGTAAAACTTCCAGTTTTGGGCTTATCCCGTCCAAAGCCGCCTCAAATGGCCTTATCCACGGGCTTCTAGAAGTTCAATCCCGATTCAGGCCCACTGGGCCTACGCGAGTTGCAGAGCCTTGTGCATGACTCCAGTGCAGTCTATGCGTGAGCGTGAAGACCCGCGCTAAGGGACCAAACTGCATTTTTTCTTAACAATTTGAATTGGGCCGTAACTTTCTAACTATAAGACAGATTCATGATTTTGGGACCATTAGAAAGCTTGTGATGAAATCTATAATTTAGAATCAAATTTGGACAAATTTGAATTACTTTTGAAGAGTCTACAAGGCTAGGACTTCAAGATCTCTATTTTAGATTTCTGGCCATTAGTTTGGTGTTTGGACTAAATTTCTAAGCTCATAAGGATATAGGGTATCTAAGATGATTATTTGAGCGTATTAGAATAAGTTTTAGGTGACTTTGGGATATTTTAAGGTGTCTAGGTTCATTATAGTTCACTGGGCTTAGTGGTATCTTTAGGACACAGAATTTGTGCTTCTGAGAATTTTATTAGCTAGAATTTCTGGGGGTTTGTCTAGAGTTGCCTTTTTTGGCATTCAAACCTCGGGTATCGGGTGAATAGCTAAGGCGAGACATGATGGAAAGAAAAATAGGAGCTCATTCTTTTGAATGACTAGTATCATTTGGGAATGCAATATATTGATGGATTATTTTGATATGTAAGACATCAAACTGGAACTACACTATCTTTGAGTTGCAGAATGCTGCAAAAGAGGAAATCACACACCAAAATAAAGATGAGTGTTTATTCATTAGAGTGGGAATGAGATCCCTTACTTTATTCAAGAAAATGGGGGGAGAAGACAAAATAAATTATAAAAAAACCTAAACTCCTCAAGAAGATGATATCATTGTATTAAAACCCAAGGGTTTAGATGCATGAATATCTAAACGATGCGGTCGGTATAGAGCCGAGGCTCTAAAGAATCAAATTAGAGCCCACCTTCAAATAATGTTGAGAAATGTGGTTTCATTGTTGAAAAACTTTATGATAAATTTAAAATATATTTTCATCTTTAATTATAAAATTTAAAGCTTAAAATCGAGCACTATTTCCCAAACTTGAAATCCATTTTTTTCTCATGTCCATACATCTTGACGTCTAGATGATCGATTTGACGATATTTGGGCATTAAAACAACCTCTTCAACTGAAATTTTTGAGGTAGGATCTAATTTGATTGTTTAGAGCCTAGGCCTTATATAAACTTTTTCCATATCTTAATAAAAAACCATAGCACATATATTTCAGCCTACAAACATGATTTATACACATTTAAATAATAAAAATTTAACCCTAATAGGTCCCTTATAAATCCCTAGGTCCAAAATACAACTAAACTCAATAAATTATTCAAATACTCATAATGTACATCTATACAAAATATTACATGACTTGCACTCACAATTCCTCATTATATTAAAATTATATGATAATTCTATCTTCATTCTCCATCCTCATCATATATCATAATTTCTTATACATATTATACACTTGATCATAATAATCTATTGAGATTTCAACTCACATAAACATTAAAGCTCATACCGCACGATTAAAGAACAATCTCAATATTCACATAACATACTCAATTTAACTAATCATGAACCACTTAATAACTGTAAATACATCAAATTAATATGCAAATATACATGAGGGAAGCTATGATTTGAACCCCTTGTGCCCAGGCCATAAAAAGGTCTTTTGATGACTTAATTTTGTCTCATTGTCTAAGCCATAGGTGATACTAATAACTCAATGAGATCATTCCAATGGGAAGCAACTGATTACTTTTATTTCAATGGCGATCAAATCATGAGAGAGATATGTATCAAAATAACCCTTCAAATTTGAGAGAGATACTACACAAAATAAGGGAGTTATAGTAAAACTACGCCATGTAGTCCATAAGGGACCACACGAACTTTTCAACATTCAAAAAGGAACTCAAGGGATTTTTCATATACTCAAATATGATGAATAAACCTCTCATCAGTTGTATATTCTCAGTAAAAATTCTAGAAAAATAAGATCAAGAAAATCAAGGTGAAACTATTCAAGATCATGGAGTAAGCAAGCTAGTCTACACATACCATGTGTATGGACTAGTATTATTGCTTTGAGTCTCTTCAAATATCAAGTTTTTATGATCAAAAAATGAAGAAAGCTACTATAAATTAAATATTACAGCAAACTTTAATAATGGAAATGATGTAAGAATTAAAACATAAGAAGAAAACTCAATACCTTAGTGAAGCAATAGTATGGAATTAATTACAAATACAGATAGTGGAGGCAAAGGAGCAATGCAAAAAAAGATGGTTCTCAGTTTCTTAGTCTTCTTTGTAGAGAAGACAAATGTTTGGTAAGATCTTGCCCATGATAAGATTGTCTACTGTGAGGCATTGACCTTGAAGGGCTATCTAGAGAAAGGCTCTAATCTTCATCAGAATAGGCCATTTCCAAACAGATCCAAGGACTAAATTGGACCATCTAACCCCGATCATGAAAGAGTAACTTTCACCGATAATAGTCATTTGCTTTCACTTTTTAAGAAAATCTCATCTGAACCTCCACTGGAGAGATACACATCTTGGAGGATTTCTAACAGATTTTGATATTGCAAAATTACCGCATCCGGCAGCCTATTATAAGTGCATCCACTATCCCAAAAAGTTCCCTGAGAAGAGGAAGCAAAGGAGGTGAGATCCATAATTTTTGCCGTAGGAAGTGGCACCCTTGCAAAGAGGTTTGGAAATAAGAGATATACGAGG